CCCCCCCCCCCCCCCAATTACAATTTAAACAATTCTCCATCGAATGTTTTTTTTGTTCCAAGTTGCTGTTTGGAATACTTGGGGAGTATTCTCTGATGTTGATACATCTTTCATTCGTGTTGTAAGTTAAGGCCTATTTTGGCTCTATTGGGCGCTACTTCAATTGTGGAAGTTTATTTTTGGTTCCTCCTGATTGGTGGCGTCCCGTGTCAATCACGTGGGGAGCTTTCTTTTGCAACAGAACGTAAGTAAACCGCTCTGTCCTTCTCTTCGTAGTAGATTCACAACGTGTACCGATCTCCTATTGTGTGGCAGCTTTACAGCACCAACTCATCCGAAAACTCAGTGGGTCGTGCGGAGTAAACCCAGATCAATGCAAACCGCAAGCCTTTGGGCTTGTAGTTAATGTGGCAGTTTGTCGATTTATGCTTGTTTTGTGATCTATCAGCAACACAGTCCTACCTATCCCATCCACAAAGCTCAACTGCGAAAACATTTATGTAGACAACACCTTTCACCAGCGGCAGATGTCTCAATGACACTTAATGAAGTACATATTTTGAGTGGAATCCCTGTTGAAATGGACGAGCCAAATTTCGCACAGCAAGCTCCCACAAACCAATGTGATAATGATCATGTATTTCAGAAATTAAAAAAAAGAGAAAATGCTGAAGAAGCTCAACAGGTCTGGTGGCGTCTTTGGAGAGAGAAACGGAGTTAACGTTTCAAGTCGGGTAATGACTTCTTCCGGAAAATAAAAACCGAAAGAACTCCGGGTGCTGTAAATCAGGAACAAAAACAGAAGCAGCTGATGAAGGGTCACCGGACCCGAGACGTTAACTCTGATTTTTTTTCTTTTCACAGATGCTGCCAGACCTGCTGAGCTTTTCCATGACTTCTTCAGAGTTTTATCGGACTCCAAACATTACTCTTTCTCCACAGATCCTGCCAGACGTGATGAGTTGCTTCAGCATTTCTATTTTAGAGTCAGAGGTTTACAGCATGGAAACAAGCCCTTCAGCCCAGCTTGCCCACCTGCCCAGTTTTCACAATTTAAACTGGTCCCATTTGCCTGCATTTGGTCCATATCCCTCCATATCTAACCCATCCATGTACCTGTCTGAATGGTTCCTAAATAACAAAATTGTACTCTCCTCCACCATTACCTCTGGCAGCCCGTTCCAGGCACTCATTACCCTCTTTGTGGAAAAATAATTGCCCCCAGATCCTTCTGTATCTCTCTCACCTTAAACCTATGCTGTCTAGTTTTAGACTCCCCTACCTTGGGGGAAAGTTTTGGCTATCCACCTTATCTATGCCTCTCATGATCTTATAAACCTCTATAAGGTCACCCCTTAGTTTGCTATGCTCCAGTGGAAAAAGTCCCAGGCTGTCTAGCCTCTCTTTATAACTCCAACTTTCCATTCCAGGTACCATTCTCGTAAATCTTTTCTGCACTCTTTCTAGTTTAATAATATCCTTCCTATAGTAGGGTGACCAGAACTGCATGCAGTAGTCCAAATGTGGCCTCAACAATGTTTTGTACCACTGCAACAAGACGTCCCAACTCCTACACTCAATGCTCTGACTGATGAAAGCAAGCATGCTGAAAGCTGCCTTCATCACCCTGTCCACCTGTGACTCCACTTTCAACGAGCTATGAACCTGTACCCCTAGATCTCTTTGTTTCATAACACTCCCCAGGGCCCTACCATTAACTGTTCAAGTCCTGACCTGGTTTGACCTGCCAAAATGCAACACCTTGCATTTATATAAATTAAGCTCCATCTGCCATTCCTCAGCCCAGTGGCCCAGTTCATCAAAGTCTCACTGTATTCCCAAATATTACAAACTATACCTTATAAATTCTACTCCAAATCATGTATGTAAATGACAAATAATAGTGGAACCAACTTTATACTTTCATTTTGTCTTCCAGCATCTGCAGTATTTTGTTTCTATCTGTTTTAGTAGTATTAATTGAGCAACAAATATTGTTGAAGACACCAGGAGAACTGTTGTCTTCAAAGTAGTGCAATGAAATCTTTTACATTCCCCCCACCCGTGCCCCCAGGCAGATAAGGCCTTGGTTTAATATCTCATTCCAAAGACAGCAACACACCCTCTGTACTGCACTGCAGTCCTAACCTAATTTCTTAAACTAGCCTCTGAGCTTTGATCAAGTATGTCAGTGTATCAACCTACCTACATAATTTTCTGAAGAAGGGTCTTGACCCAAAACATCAGCTTTCCTGCTCCTCTGATGCTGCCTGGCCTGCTGTGTTCATCCAGCTCTACACCGTGTTATCTTACATAATTTTTAACATTGTATCATACAATTGTTACAAATGAGAAGGAGGCCATTCAACCCAAGATCTCTTGCACCAGTTCTCTGAATGAGTAATTCATTTCTTCCTGTGACCTTGTTCATTCTGTCTTTATCTGGTAATGGGAACAGTTTGTGCCTCTCTGCTGTGTCCAGACTCCACATGATTTTGAACACCTTGATCAAATCTCTTCAATTCTCCCAACTTCTTCAACTGTAACCGAGGTTCCTTATCCCAGGACCAATTCTGAAACATCTTTTCACGCTCTCTGCACTGTCTTCACAATCCTCCTAAGACATGGCACCCAGAAATGGAAATGACCCCAGCTGCGGCTGTACTATATTCAATGATTTCTGTGTACTTATTCCACCTCTGTGCCCCCTTTAGAATTATACCCTTTTTTAAAAAAATTGACTTTCCATGTTTTCCTTCCAAAATTAATCACTTTACCATATTTCTCTGTACTCAATTCCATCTGGCACTTGCCAATCCACCAACTTGTCCATGTGCTTTTGAAGTTCTGCGCAATTTTTTTTTCATAGTTGACAATGCTTCCAAGTTTTGTATTAATTGCAAATTTCAAAATAATGCCCTAAATGCCAAGGCCTTGGTCATTTATATAAATAGTGAAAAGCAATAGTTCTGATGTCAACTCCTGGGGATTACTACTATCAAATATCCATTAATCACTACTCTCTATCTCCTGTCACTCAGCCAATTTCATACTTATGTTATATGTGTCTTTCACTCCATGATCTCTAACTTTGCTCACAAGTCTGTGTGGCACTTCGTTAAAAGGCTTTTGTACATCACATTAGCTTTCATTGTTACTTCATCAGAAAATTCCAGCATGTTAGTTAAACTGAAGCTGCCCTTGAAAAACTTGCATTGGCTTTAATTAACTCATTTGCCCAAATGATAATGAATTTTGTCCCACATTGTCCTATCTAAATGCTTCCCCGCAAGTGAGGTTATATATTTCGATGAGTAAGGTAAGTTCTAACTGTCCCGCCATGCGTGATTAACTAGGAAGGTTAAAAATTGGATCAAATTTAAAGATAAAGGATATAATTGCGCAAGGACAAGTGGCTTGTCAGAAGATTTGATGGAACATATAAAAATCAAAGGATGACTTTTAGAAAAAAAGAGAAAAACTCGAGTACAAGAGAAAGCTAGCTGGAAATATAAAACAGACAGTCAGAGTTTCTACAAATATTTAAGGAAAAGAGCTAACAAAGTGAGTCTGGATAGTTAATACAGAATGAGGAGATGGTTGATGAATTAAACAGGTATTTTGCATCAGTCTTCATTATTGAGGATATAAGTAACATCTCGGAAGCAGTGATAAATCACAATAGAAGGAAGGGAGGAAAATCATAGAGGAGTGTTACTGAGTAAATGGTTGGAGCTGTGGCTCAGCAGTGACTGGGTGCTGATCAACTTCATCCTGGGGTTTTAAAAGAAGTGGCTAGTGAGAAAGTTAATGGATTGATTTTAATTCTCCAAAACTCCTTAGATTCAAAGAATGACCCATTTGCTTTAAAAATAGCAAATCTAAGTTAAAATCTGTCACAGGGAAAATGTTAGAATTATTATGGAGGGTTTGTCTTATGAGGAGAAGTTGATTGGGTTGGGCCTGTATTCACTGGACTTTAGAGGAACGAAAGGTGACCAAGTTGAAACATTCAAGATTTTTAGAACTTCAAATTTTCCTTGCCCCTTTCTGCTCTTTAGCTGCTACTATCCCAGTCTAAATTTGGGTACGTCATGTTGATTATTATAATTACTGTACAAAAGCAGTTATTTGGTAGTACCTTATAGAACTTGAATCTTGCTGAAAAGAGAGACATGTTTTTGCAGCTTCTCATCTTGTTCTCATCAGGACTAATGCAAGAATGCCATATTTAAAATGATCACAATAATTTCTGCACAAGGGGGGAAAAAAAAAGGGTACTGATTGGTTGGAAAACTGACTCTGACCAAGAAATTGCTTCTCCTGTAGAATAAATCACTGTATAATCCTTTCCCCTCTCTGTAATTATCTTGCAAATGTGTATATCTGCATCTTTCCTACTGGTTGGTGACCTATAGAATATACAAATCATTGTAAATATACTTTTTTTTTATTTATTCCTTATCTCTACTAGGTTCTGTCCTTGACTCCTGTGCCCCCGGCATTGTGACGTTCTCCTTAATCAATGCCACCTCCAGTTGTCTTTTCCTGTATTTTCTATCATTCCTGAATATCTTTTATTCATTTGTACTGGCTAAGTCAGCACTTATTGCCCAATCCTAATTTCCCAAAGAGCAGTTAAGAGTTTACTGCATTGCAGTGAATCTGGAGTCACATATTGGCCAGATCAAGTAAGGATGGCATTGCCTTCCCTAAAGGGTAACTGGATGGGCTTTGCCCAACAATTCACAATAGTTTTATGGTCATTCCAGGTTTTATTGAATTCAAATTCCACCGTCTACCATAGGGGGAATCCAACCCAGGTACCCAGAACGTTATCTGGGTCTCTGGAATAAAAGTCTTGCGATAATACCACTGGGCCATCACCTTCCTTGTATACCCTAAAATCCAGGATTATTTAATATCCAACCACAGCATTGTATTTCCCAGTTGTTCACAATGTATATCCATGATTTACAACTGGGCACCAAATGTAATATTTCCAAATTTGTGAATGATACAAAGCTAAGCAGGAAGGTGTGTTGTGAAGAAGATGAAAAGCTGTGCAGGAAGATTGGGACAGGCTTAGTGAGTGGGCAAGAACATGGCAGATGGAATATACTAAGAAAAAATGTGAAGTTATCCACTTTGGTAGGAGAAACAGAAGTGCAGAGTATTTTTTAAAAGGCAAAAGTTTGGAAAATGTAGATGTACAAAGGGACCTAGGTGTCCTTCTTGAGAAATCACCAAAGGCTAATATGTAGGTATGGCACGCTGTTAGGAGGGCGAATGGTATATTAGCCTTTACCACAAAAGGAGTTGAATATAACAGTAGTGAATTCTTGCTTCAATTATATAGGTACTTGGTTAGGCTACACCTGGGGTATTGTGTGGAATTTTGGTCCCCTTATCTGAGGAAAGATATTAATGTCATAGAGGGAGTGCAATGAATGGTAATGTTTTGAGTTTGATGAAAGGTCGCTGGATTTGAAACATTGTCTACTTTTCTCCCTACAGTTGCTGCCAGACCTGTTGGGTTTCTCCAACACTTTTTTTTTGTTTGTGTTTGAGTTTCAGCATTCACAGTATTTTGTTTTTATTTTAGATTTCTCAGACTTGTTCCTGGGTTGGTGGGACTGTCCTATGAAGAGAGATGGGTAAACTGGGCATGTATTCTCCAAAGCTTCAAAGAATGAGAAGTGATCTCCTTGAAACCTACAGAATACTTCAAGAGATAGACAGGGTAGATGTAGGTTAGATGTTTCCCCTCGTTGAGAAGTCTAAAACCAAAGGGCATAATTTAAAAATAAGGGGCATACCATTTAGGACCAGGATGAGGACAATTTTTTTTTTTAAATCAGAGGATGATGAATCTTTGCCATTCTGTGCCATGGAGGGCTATTGAAGTTCAGTCTTTGAGTATGTTTAAGATAGAGATTGACAGAAGAGCAGGCTTGATGGGTTGAATGGCCTACTCCTGATCTTACTTCCTGTAGATGATTCTGCTATAACACATTCCTGTGAAACATTGCATTATAAAAAATTGCGCTATAGAAGTAATGGGGCCTATGGGAAAAGTGGGGTTGGGGCAGACCACCAAAAAAAAATCACTCAATCGCTCAAAACTCACTCAAAAGTCAAACACAAAGGATAGCACAATTTGAATACATGTTTAATTCGTATCTAATAATTAAATTTAACACCTTACTTTGAAAACATGTCAAGATGACTTGATAGGGGAGGAGGTTGTACTGTAACTTTCACAGAAAGCACTTCACAACAACAAAGCCCACAAAATGATTGTGTAATGCTGGTGCAGAGATTCCTTTGGCGCTAACATTGTACGTATTCAGGATAAAGCCGGTGAAACAATCATGTAATGTCGACATTGACTCCTCTGCGCCACAATGGAATTGCGTTATAGCCAACACAAGTTCGCATTTTAGAAATAGCGTTCCCCTATTCATCAATCGTGTTACAGTCAACTTGCGTTAACGGAACCCGCGTTGTAGCAGAACTGACTGTATTTGCTTTAAACGTAGGGCAGAAAAGGTTCGCTTGACTCATCATGGAGATGAAGGTCTAATCTTATGAACAGGTTAAGTTTATACATCCATTTGAGTTTTGATATAAAGAAACACAAGATCTTGAGGACACCTGATAGGGTAGATAGTGGAAGGATGTTTCCTCTTGTGGGGGAGACTAAAATGCGGTCATGTTTTTGATTTGATTTATTATTGTCATGTGTACCGAAATGCAGTGATCATAGCTTTAGAAGAGGTGTCTCTTTGAAAGCAATGACAAAAAGAAGTGTCTTCTCTCAGAGGGTCATTAGATCATGGAACTCTCTTCCCTGGAAGGTAGTGGAGGTTGTGTCTTTAAATTTATTCAAGACTGAGTAGGTAGATTTTTGATCAACAAAGGAGTCAAAGATTTTCGAGGGCACTGCCCAGTATTTTAATTTTATGCAACTTATTCATTTTTTAATTTCTAGATGTGGGTGCCAATCTCCCTCCCAATTAGTTCAACTCTGTTCATCCCTCCCATGAAATACTTTGTAAGGACCCCTTTTCTGATGAAGGGTCTAGGCCCGAAACGTCAGCCTCTCTGCTCCTATGATGCTGCTTGGCCTGCTGTGTTCATCCAGCTCTGCACCTTGTTGTCTCGGATTCTCCAGCATCTGCAGTTCCTACTATCTCTAGGTCCCAGTCCTGTAGAGGTGCAACCTGTCCCTTTTAGAATTTATTTGTTTTGCCCAGAACTGCTCCCAAAGCCCCAAGAATCTGAAGCCCTCTCTCCTGTTCCATGCTGAAGCCATGCATTGAGCCTCTGAATCCTCCTGTTACTAGTCTGGCTAACGTGTGGCACTGGGAACGATCCACGGATTACTCTGTGCTGTCTTTTGAAGTCCTTTTTTATTTTAAACTTACTCCCTTGCTCCTGAAAAGCTGATTGTGGGACCTCGATGCCTGCTTCCTCTCTGTCATTGGGGCTAATATGTCCCACAACTTTTGGTTCACTCCCTTCCCCCTGTAGAATATTCCGTGCCTTCTCCATGACGTCCTTTCCCCGGCACCATGGGGGAGTGTCAGAATGCTGCCTCTGATTGTAACTCAGTTCCTTTTTATTATCTTCTATCTGTTTCCTATTGTCCATTTACTTTCAAGATTTTATTGGTAATGAATCTTTTCTAGCCAAGGCCTGTGTAATTTGAACTTTCCCTTGAATTCATTTGCCTGTATTTTTGAGTTTTTGTTTGCAAATTTTGAATCTAAGTATTCGGGCAATTACACTCCAGTGTACAGGCAAATACATTTTGGCTGTTACACTCGAACTGAAGCCATTCTGACTTTTTTTGCTTTATTTTAAACTTGTTTACCCCCATCCCCCCCAACTCCTCCCCCCACCACCTGAAGACCCCCTCTCTTCTGTTGTTGATCCCTCCTTACAATGGTCCCCTCTCAAGAACTCTACCCTCCCAAATCACTGCTCCAAAACTTCAATACTCCTGGAATCTCCTGCTTTTTAGATATTATCTCCGACTTCATCGCTCCTTCAAAAACCCAACAGCCTCCCTGCTGCCACCTCTCTCCTTCACCTCCAATGGGCTCCTCAAGTCATTTGGTATTGTGAGGATGTAGACAGGTTGGCTGAACCGGTGGCTTTGGTTGCAAACATTTTGTCACCTCGCTGGGTAACATCATCAGTGCACCTCCGGTGAAGTCTTGGTGTTCTGTCCTGCTTGTTATTTATATGCCTCGGTTTGCTGGGGTGGATGGTATTTCTTCCAGTTCTGTTTTTTCAGAGGTTTGTACACACGGTCTAATTCAATGTGTTTGTTGTTGGAGTTCCGATTGGAATACCAGACCTCCAGGACATCCCTAGCGTGTTTCTGTTTGGCTTGTGCGATTATGGATGTGTTGTCCCAGTCAAATTTGTGTCCCTTGTCCGTGTGTAGTGAGACAAGTGAGAATTGGCCGTGTCTCTTGGTGACTAGTTGGTGTTCATGTATCCGTATTGTCAGTTTTCTCCCGGTTTGGCCAATGTAGTGTTTCTCACAGTATGGTATTTGCATGGTATTTTGTATATTAATTTAGTTTTATAGGTTGTGGGTATGGAGTCATTTACATTCATCAGTAGCTGTCATAGGGTGGATGTTGGTTTGTGGGCTACCTGATACCTAGGGGTCTGAGTAGTCTTGTGGTCATCTCTGAAATGTCCTTTAATGTACGGTAGGGTGACAGGTGAGTCTGGTCATGTTGTGGTCTGTCTCTGAGGTAAAAGCAGATTGTGCTTTTTGAGTATGCATTCCTTTTGAAGGCTTTGTATGGGTGCTCCTGTTTGTTTTGTGCAATTCCAAGTTGCTGCAATGTGTTGTGGCTCGTTTAAATAGCGTTCTGATGCAGCTCCGTTTGTGGGCATTGGGGTGGTTGCTAGTGTAATTGAGTATCTGGTCCATATGTGTGGTCTTTCTATATACGCTAGTCTGGAGTTCCCTGTTATTTTTGCGATCCACCATTATGTCCAGGAAGGTTAGTCAGTTATTGTTCTTTTCTTCTTTTTGTGAATTTTATCCCGGTAAGGATGTTATTTATGTGTCGGTGAGTTTCTTCTGGTTTTGTGTGTTTAATAATCACGAAGGTGTCATTTACATATTGGGTCTAGTGTTTGGGTTGTATAGTGGGGAGCACTGTCGGTTCTAACCTTTGCATTACTGCTTCTGCAATCAGTCCTGATATTGGGATCCCATTGGTGTTCCATTTGATTTGCTTATATATGCTGTCGTTGAAAGTGAAGTAACCCTGCATTTCCAATGGCTAATTCACCCAGCCTGCACCTCCCTGGACACTATGGGTAATTTCCCATGGCCAATCCACCTAACCAGCACATCTTTGGACTGTGGGAGGAAACAGGAGCACCCGGAGGAAACCCATGCGGACACTGGGAGAATGTGCAAACTCCACACAGATAGTCGCCCGAGGCTGGAATCAAACCCGTGTCCCTGGCACAATGAGGCAGCAGTGCTAACCGCTGAGCCACTCCGTCTCCACTCATCCCACAATCTTGAGCTCTGTGCTCTCCGAACTTTGGCTTCCTGAATATCCTTGATAGCCGCCATTGGTTTCGTTTGCTTAGACCCTAAGATCTAGAATTCCCTCCCTCCACCTCTCTGGCCCTTGACTTCACGTTCCTCCTTTTAAGATATCCTTAAAAGCTATTTCTTTTGAAAAAGTTTTTAGTCATCACCTTAATATTAAGTGGCCCAGGTTTTTTTTAAAATGTTTCTGTGAACCAAGGCACTGTATAATTTTTTCTTTCTTTTCTTCACAGCTCTCTTTAGTTAACTAGCAGAAACAAGGGAGCCATCGGGTATAACTTCCGCTGCAAACTAAACTGAAGGGGTAATGTCACCGGTGATCCAGATGCCGAGGCTGAAGCTTGAGGAGAGTGGGGCACAGACACAGGTTCAAATCCCACCATGAATGCTGCTTTAACTTAATTTAAAATCTAGAATTTGAAAGATTCAGTGACAATGATGATGGAAGTGTCATTGATTGTTGTAAAAACCCAGCTGGTTTACTACTGTTCTAAAAGCCCATGGTGTTGGAGGTAGTACTGTATATTACAGGATTAATCTAAGTAACTCAAGACAGGGGGCATTCAGAATGGGAACCTGTAACTAGTGGACCATCGTACAAAACTATACAAGGTACGAGTGAGACCACAGCTGGAATTCCGTGAGTAGTTTTGTTCTTCTTATCTAAGGAAAGAAACACTGGCTTTGGAGGCAATCCAGAGAAGGCTCACCATGTAGAGAGGGGTTGCTTTATGAAGAAAAGTTGAGTAGATTAGGCCTGTACTCATTGGAATATAGAAAAAAAAGAACTTATTGAAACAGACAAGATTCTTTAGGGTCTTGACAAGGTAGATATGGTAAGGTTGTATTCTCTTATGGGAAGGTTCTAGGACCAGAAGGCATAATCATTGAAGTAAGGGGTCACACATTTAAAACAGAAATGAGGAGTGAGTTCAACTCTTGGAGAAATTCTTTACTGCAAAGGGCTGTCGAGGCTGGGTCTTTGAGTATATTCAAGGCTGCAATAGACAGATTTTTAATCAGTAAGGGAATCAAGGGTTATGGGGAAAAGGCAGCAAAGTGGAGTTGAAAATTATTGGATCAGCTATGATCTTGTTGAATGGCAGAGCAGTCCCGATGGGCTGAATGGCCTACTTCTGCTCCTGCCTCTTATGCCCTTTAGGGAAGGAAATCTGTTGTCCTTATCTGGTCTGGTTTACATGTGACTCCAGACCCACAGCAATGTGGTTGACTTTGAAATGGCTGAGCAAGTTATTCACTTCAAGGATATTTAGGGTTGAACAACAAATGCTGATAGTGCCCACATGAAGGAATACTACTCCGTTTTCCCTCCGATTTAGAGTCATACAGTCAAACAGAAATCCTAAATTGATCCAGTCCTATTTGCCAGCATTTGGCTCATATCCCTCTAAGCCCTTCCTATTCAGATGCCTTTTTAAATGTTACAATGGTACCAGCTTCCTCCACTTCTTCTGGCAGTTTATTCCATGTAGCCACCACCCTCTCCATGAAAAAGTTGTCCCTTGGGTCCCTTTTAAATCTTTCCCCTCTCACCTGAAACCTTTGCCGTCCAGTTTTGGACTCTCCTCCCCTGGGAAAAAGACCTTGGCTATCCAGCATACCCATGATTTTATAAACCTTTACAAGGTCAACCAGGGAAAATAGCCCCAGCCTATTCAGCCTCTCCCTATAGCTCAAACTCTCCAATCCTGGCAACATCCTTGTAAATCTTTTTCTGCACCCTTTCAAGTTTCACAACCACTTTTCTATAGCAACGAGACCAGAATTGAATGCTGTATTTCAAAAGTAGCCTAACCAATGTCCTGTACAGCTGCAACATGACCTCCCAACTCCTGTACTCAATGACTGACCAATAAACGCAAGCATACCAAACACAAGTGTACCAATTTCTCTTCCTCTGAGTCTCTGTGTGTGTATGTGTATAGCAGTGGCTTCTGAAAGCAGAAGATGATTGACATGCATGACCTTCCCAACGACTCTGCAGCTTCCAGGGAATATTGCTGTACTCCCTTGGCACCAATTCCATCCCAATAACACTCATAGGCTAAAGCAGACTATCCAGTATCTGTCCTGCTAGACTCTGAGCTGCCCCCTAATCCTTACATTCCATCCTCAGGAGGCGTATGAAATACCCAATTCAATCCAATGTAGCCTGTGACACAGGTTTGATTCCTTTTTAAAATCTTTTCAGTGTTAGTGGAATGAGCTGGAGAGTCAGATGATTTCTAGTTACCAGTACAGTTTAAGGTCAGGCCCAACAAAGAAAAGAGAAGTTTGCTTTAATTTTTAAAGTGTATTTATTCACAGGATGTGCGTATTGTTGGCTGGGCCAGCATTTCTTTGGCCACTGCTAATTCACAGAATCACAGAAATATTATACACCATTCAGCTTATCATGTCTGTAGTGGCTCTCCAAACAAGCATCTTTACCTATTGTCAATCTCCAGCTTTCTCCTATACCTATCAAAATGATTATCGATTGAGTGCTTCAACTGAATCCTTCTCCACCAGATTTCTACTTGGAGCATTGTGATTTTGGACTTTGGAAAGTCAAACCAAGGTAGTACTTAGAGTAAATGATAAGGTCCTGAGTAGTGTTGTGGAATAGAGGGACCTAGGAGTACAAGTACATAGTTCGTTGAAAGTGGCATCACAGGTGGGCAGGGTGGTGAAGAGGCATTTACCATGCTGGCCTTCATTGGTTGAGGCATTGACTACAGGAGTTGGGTCATTACGTTACAGTTGTATAAGTCATTGGTGAAGCTGCACTTGGGAGTATTGTTTACAGTTTTGGTCACCCTGTTATAGGAAAGACATAATTAAACTGGAAAGTGTGCAAAGAAGATTGAGGATGTTGCCAAGATTAGTAGGCCTGAGCTATAGGGAGAGGTTGGCCAGGATAGGACTTTATTCCTTGGAATGTAGGAGAATGAGGGATGACCTTTATTGAGGTGAATAAAATCATGAGGGGCATAGATAGGATGAATGCATATAGTTTTTTTCCCAGGGATGGGGAATTGAAAACGAGAGGGCATAGGTTTAAGGTGAGAGGGAGAAGATTTAAGAAGGACCTGAGGGGCAACTTCTTCATGCAGAAAGTGGTGTGTATATGGAATGGGTTACCGGAAAAACTGGTTGAGGGAGGTACAACAGTAACATGGATGAGAAGGGTTTAGAGGGATATGGACCAAATGCAGGCAACTGGAACTAGCTGAGTGGGTACCATAGTCAGCATGGACCAGTTTGGGCCAAAGGGCCTGTTTCCATACTGTATTACTGTATGACTTTAACTACTTACTCTGTGAATTTGTTTTCCTCGCATCACCTATACTTGTTTTGTACATCATTTTAAAGCAACTCCCTCTTATTGTTATTCCTTTTATGAATGAAAACAGCTTGTCTCTATCTACTCTGTCCAGCCTGCTTATGATCTTGAAAACCTCTATGAAATCTCCTCTTGGCCTTCTTGTCTCCAAGGAGAATAGTCCTCAACTTCTTCAATCCATTCTCATCACTGAGGTTTGCCCAGAAATGAGTGAAATTGCCACTGAGAAGCTGGGGGTGAGCTACCTTTTTGAACTGTTGCAGTCTACGTGCTGTGGGTTGACCCACAATGCTGTTGGGAGGTGGGAATTCCAGGATTTTATCCCACTGACAGTCAAGGAGTGGGAATATATTTCCAAGCCAGGATGGTGAGTGGCTTGGAGGGGAACTTGCAGATGGTGGTTTTCCCATGTATCTGCTGCCCTTGTCCTTCTGGCTGGCTGGTAATGTAGGGGATGTGGCAACCAATCTGCAGGCAGCAACGCAGTGTGATCATGACCAGGTGTTCGATTGTGTGATGTTTGTTGAGGAATAAATAGTCTCCACAGCATTAGAGGAAACTCCCAAACTCTCCTCTAAAATTCAGCCAGGGGATCTTGTATCTGACCTCAGTGTGCAGGCAAGGCTCTGATAATGCCTCCTCCAACAGTCGGTGAGGAATATTAGCGATGAGGTTTCTGCAGTGAAACCTGAAACTGCAACTTCCAAACTTGAGAAGTGAGAATTGCTGCTAACTAACCCACTGGCATTTGTGACTCTGTCTCCCAGAAAGTCCGAGGCCTACTGAGCCCGAGAACAATGGACTTTCTGATCAGAGTGAAATATCAAGGGAAATGCAGCCAAGGTGGGGCGATCAGAGAGACCGAATAGGCCCGAGGGGCTGAATGAATTGCTCTAATTGGTTGACTGGTCCATCAATGCGGAGGAGATTTAGCTAATCTTGTTGCAGCATGGGGAGTCAGCCAGTAGGAGAAACTATCACTGACCATAAAACTATAAGAAATAGGAGCAGGCCATTTGGCCCCTTGAGCCTACTCCGCCATTGAATAGGTTCATGGCCGATCTGACATTGGTCACATCCAACTCCCTGCGTTGTCCCTGTAATCCTTGATTCCCCAACTGATCAAGAATCTATCTGCCTCGGAATTAAATGTACACAAGGACTCTTCCTCCATAGCTCTGTGGCAAGGAGTTCCAAAGACACTCAACTGGGAAGAAATTAGTCCTCATCTTTGTCTTAACTTGGTGACTATGCCCTCTGATCCTAGACTCTCCCATGAGGGAAACATCCTCTCAGTATTTACCCTGTCAAGCCCCTTAAGAATCCTATGTTTCACCTGAGATCACCTCTCATTCTTCTCCACTCCAATGAGTAGAGTCCCAACCTGTTTAGAATTTGCTCATAAGACAATCTCTCCATACTAGGGATCATCTAATGAAGCTTCTCTGAAATGCCTCAAATGAAATGATATCTTTTCTTAAGTAAAGGGACCAAAACTGCTCTCTGTACTCCAGATGTGGGATCGCACCAGCACCTTGTACAATTGCAGTAAGACTTCCCTACTGCCACACTCCACCCCCTTGAAATAAGGGCCAACATTCCATTAGCCTTCCAGATGACCTGCTGTACCTGTGTGCCAGTTTTCTGTTCCCTCTTCCAAGATGAACAACTTCACATTTTCCCACATTTTACTCCATTTGCCAACTCTTTTACTACTTACTTAATCTATCAATATCTCTCTGCTAATCTGCTTGTATCCCTCTTGCATCCTGCCTTTCCACCTATTTTTGTGTTGTCTGTACATGTGGCTATAGTACATTCACTTCCTTCCTTTAAATCATTAATATATGTTGTAAACAGTTGCAGTCCCAGCACTGATCCCACTGGTTACTGGTCACCAACCTGAAAAAAAACCCTAATCCCAGTTGCTCTTTCCTGCAATGTTAGCCAATTCTCTATCCATGCCAATATACTACCTCCAACACCACAGGCTCTTAAACTATCATTTAACCCTTTGTACGGTGCCTTGTCGAATGTTTTCTGGAAGTCTAAATACAACACATCTGCTGGTTCCCCTCTATCCGCGTCGGTTGAGACTACCTCGAAACTTTAATAATTAGTCAGACATAATTTCCCTTTCATGAAGCTGTGCTAACTTTGTTTGATTTGTTTATTATTTTCCAGATGTTTTGCTATTACTTCCTTAATAATTGCTTCCAATACTTTTCCAACAATAGATGTTAGGCTAATTGGCCAACAGTTACCCCCCTTTTTGAACAGGGGTGTCACGTTGGCAGTTTTCCAATCTTCTGGCACTCCTCCAGAATCCAGTGATTTCTGGAAAATTACAACCAATGCATCCACTATCTCGGTAGCCCCCTTTTTTAGGGTCCTAGATTGCAACTCATCAGGGCCAGGGGACTTATTGCCTTAGCCCATTGATTTGTCTAATACTACTTCTCCAGTGATGGTGATGGCACTTAATCCCTCCCCTGTATTCTTTAATATTAATGGAACATTCAAAGTATCTTCCACCATAAAGACTGATGCAAAATATCTGATTAACCCCTCTGTCATTCTTCTGTTCCTCAAAGCTGTCTCCCCAGATTCACTTTCTAAGGGGCTTATATTCACTTTGACTTCTGTCTTTTTGTTTTGATATGTTTAAAGAAGCTCTTATTGTCAGTTTTTGTATTCCTTGCTTGATTTTCCTTGTTTATTTTCACTGTCTTTATTGCCTTTTCAGTCCTTTGCTGGATTCTGAATTTATCCCAGTCTTCAGGACTATCACTGACTTTTCCTTTCTTACTTACTTTATCTTTTGACTTAATACTCTCCTAATCCTCCTTGGTTAGCTATGGTTGGTTTATCCCTCTCTTAGAATCCCTCCTCCTTATTGAGATGTATTTTTGCTGAGTCATGAATTACCTCCTTGAATGTCTACCACTGCTTGTTCACTGTCATTCCTGCTAATCTATCTGCCCAGTTCACTTTAGCTAATTCGATTCTCATTTCATAGTAACGCCCTGTATTTAAGTTAAACACATTTGTTTCCGACCCAAGTTTTTCACTCATGAACTGAATATTGAAATCTATCATGTTGTTATAATCACTACTTCCAAGGGGATTTGTTACTCTAAGGTTATTTATTAAACCTACCTCACTATCCCTGACCAGATCCAAAATAGTCTGCTACCAGGTTTGTTCCATGATACATTGCTCTTGGAAACTAATGCATCCCTAATGCATTCTATGAATTTCTTTTCACAGCTACCCTTTCCAATTTGATTAACCCAATCAACATGAAGATTAAAGTCACCCATGGTGCTATCCCACCATCTTTTCCATCTCCTGTCTCTTTTTGAAAGGTCAAATATTCTTGAATTTTAAGTTCCCTGTTTTAATGTCTTTGTAACCATGTTTCTGTCATGGCTGTGAGATCATTTTCATTTACCTCAATTTGCATCATCAGTTCATCTAACATTCCACATGCTTCATGCACTAAGACACAAAGCCTTTAAGTTCGTTATTTCATTGAATTTCCCTACATACTTATGGCTCCTTGGTACAATATGACAATGATGTTGCTGGGTGTGGAAGGTTTGAGTTATAAAGGAAGGCTGGAGAAGCTGAAACTTTTTTTCACTGGAGTGTAGGAGGTTGAGAGGCGACCTTATAGAAGTTTATACAATAATGAGGGCTATAGATAGGGTTAATGGCAGCCTATTCCCTAGGGTGGAGGATTTCAAGACTAGGGGACACATCTTAAGGTGAGAGGAGAGAGATTTTTAAAAAAGCAAAATTTTTACACCGGGGGTGGTTCGCGTGTGGAATGTAACTTCTTGAGGAAGTGATGGATGTGGGTATAATTACAATGTTTAAAAGACATCTGGATAAGGCAATGGCCTAATGGTATTATCACTGGACTGTTAATCCAGAGATCCAGATAATGTTCTAGGGACCCAGGTTCAAATCTCACCACGGCAGATGGTGGAATTTGAATTCAATAAAAATCTGGAATTAAGAATCTAACGATGACCATGAATCCATTGTGGATTGTCAGGAAAAACCTGCCTGGTTCACTAATGCCCTTTTAGGGAAGGAAACTGCCACCCTTACCTGGTCTCGCCTACGTGTGACTCCAGACCCACATCAATGTGGTTGACTCTGAACTGCCCTGTGGCCAATTAGGGATGGGCAATAAATGCTGCCTCGCCAGCGATGTCCCTCATCCTGTGAATGAATAAAGGACATGAATAGGAAAGGTTTGGAGGGATATGGGCCAGGAGTAGGCAGGTGGGACTAGTTTACTTTGAGATTATATTCAGCATGGACTGGTTGGACCGAAGGGTATGTTTCCGTGCTGTATGACTTTTTCCCCGTACCCCCAATTTTGTGTAAAAGTCCTGTCTGTAGCCCTGGTTATGTGATTCACCAGGATACTGGTCCCACAATGATTCAAGTGAAGCCTGTCCCATCAGAACAGCTCCCTCCTTCCCAAGTACTGGTGCCAATGTCCCATGAATTCAAACCCATTTCTCTCAAACCAATCTTTGAGCAATGCACCTTCCTCTTTAATCTTGTTGACTCTGTGCTAATTAGCTTGTGGGCTCAACTAATAATCTCTGGATTATTACCTTTTTGGTGATGCTTCTTAATTTAGCTCCCAGCTGCTCATATTCCTTCAGCAGAACCTCTTTCTTCATTCCATGTACACTGTTGGTACCTACATGGGCCATAACAATTGGATCTTGCCCCCGAGCCTCACTCCAAGTTCCTCTGCAGCCCAGATGACAAGCCCTGAACCCAGACACCAGCCTGGCAACACAGATTTTGGGACTGTTGATCCAAGAGTGAACCCAACTATATTATCCCTGATTTAAAACTAGATTTCTCTTTTCTTCCCCCCTCTTGAATGGCTCCCTGTACCACAGTGCTGTGGTCAGTTTGTTCATCCTCCTTACAGACCCCACTCTCACCCACACACTGAGCAAGAATCTCAAACCTGTAGATAAGTTCAAGGGCTGAGGCTCCTTCCTGGATCCTCTACTTCCCAGCTCGTACTCACATTCTCTGTCCCTGACCACTGAATGGATTTGAGTTAGTTAATCTAAAGGGTGTGACTGCCTCCTGAAACACACTGTCCAGGTAACTCTCCTCCCTGATGTATCACTGTGTTCAAAGCTCAGAGCTGATGAGCTGGAGTTCCTCAATAACTTACAGACACTTGCTACAGATGAAACTGATTGTGTCTACTTAGCTTCCCAATGTATTCTGCCCACCTAATCACAGGCTGTTTTCTTCCCACATTTCCTGCTGGCAGGCTCACAGAAAATCTACCTACAGTAGATGTGCGTGAGAAACCACCTGTATTTGGTCAAGTAACTCTGCAGCATTTTCCAAGCAGCAACTTACTGGTCGGTCTGTGAACTTTGGACAAGGGCCTGGAAAGTGCTTTCACATCTTTCGTGGGCCACAATCTGTGGGTCAAACCTGGAGCAGAGGATTACTGTTTACTTGGTGTTATCTCTGTCACTGACTGAGAATTCCCCTTCGGAAGACAAAGGATTAAACTGTCGCTTTGGAGCGTGTGTGTCAGCTCATCATCTGTTATCAAAATCAAGTCAACTGTATTTATTTGATCACCAGACTGTTTTGCTGTCTAAACAACTTAAGTTAAAGTGGCTTGTACTGCTCATTCTTGCTGTCAGAATTTGCTACTTCTGTTAAAATTTTGATTTTTGTCAGTTAAAGATTCTTTAATGACGAAAGGAAAGGAAAACCTTTCCATCAGTCCTGTACATTCTTGGATTTCCTTCCTGTTTACAGTGTGAAACAATTCTCTTTTACCAACATAGATCAACTCAATAGGTTATTTTGTATTTTTTGAATGAAGCCAGGAGGCCCAATGAAATCTTCTACTGTTTGCCCCTTTGCTGGTTGGTTGTCAGTAGTTTCTTCCTGCACCTCGCTCCCTGCTTCCTTGAAGCTAATTGAACTCTTTCTGCCACCTTGAGGATGATGAGGTCAAGCGATATGTGTTGGCTTAAAAGTAAGAAGTGTCGATTGTAAATTAGGTTCATAGAATCCCTACAGTGTGGAAACAGACCCTTCGGCCCAATAAGTCCACACCAACCACACTCGTTCCCCTATAACCCACCTAATCTACACATCTACGGGCAATTTAGTATGGCCAATCCCCTTAGCCTGCACACCATTGGACTGTGGGAGGAAACCCACGCAGACACTGGGAGAAAGTTTTGTCAACTCTCCAATGCTCTTATGTTCCAGAGTTGCTCACAGCAAACCTTTAATCTCGAGTGTTATTCCACCTGGATCATGTAGTTTCTCCTCTTACAGCTGTAACTTCTGTTTCTTCTGTCAAGATATTGGATTTGATAACAGTGATAGAGTCTTCATGCTTAAGATTAATGAGATATCCATTGACATAAAGAGGTCCTGTCAAATTACAGTTGGTTGAATCAGCAATTTCCCCTTGGAATGCCACATGGACAGAAATTGCTGGAAAAGCTTAACAGGTCTGGCAAGATCTATAGAGAGAAATCATTTAATGTTTTCGGGTCCAGTGACCCTTCCTCGGAACTTTTCTGAGGAAAGGTCACTGGACCCGAAACATTAACTCTGCTTTCTCTCCACAGATACTGCCAGACCTGCTGAGCTTTTCCAGCAATTTCTGTTTTCATTTCTGATTTTCAGCATCTGCAGTGCTTTCGGTTCCCATAGGAATACCTCCGGTATCTTCTCTTAATGTTGACTGCTGTATCGTATTGAGAGCTTTTTGCATTTGTAACTATCATCACTTGTGCTAATGGTGAAACCGTGTCCCACTTCTGCACATCTCCTGGAAGTGACTTATAGTCTTGCAGATTTAACATTCTTTCATTGTTGTGAGCACTTCATGTTTAACCCAATGTGTCAGTGTTAAACCACTGGTCTTCAGGCTGTCTTAATTGTGATTGTGCGCGTAATGGGGGTTTTGAAGGGGTACAGTCTAAATTTGTGTAATAGTGGATTAGTAATGAACAAAGAAAATTACAGCACAGGAACAGGCACTTCAGCCCTCCAAGCCTGCACCGATCCAGATCCTCTATCTAAACCTGTCGCCTACTTTCCAAGGATCTGTATCCCTCTGCTCCCTGCCCATTCATATATCTGTCTAGATACATCTTAAATGACGCTATCGTGCCCGCCTCTACCACCTTCACTGGCAACGCCTTCCAGGCACCCACCACCTGCTGCGTAAAGAACTTTCCACGCATATCTCCCTTAAACTTTTCCCCTCTCAACTTGAAATCGTGATCCCTAGTAATTGAGTCCCTCACTCTGGGGGGGAAAAAGCTTCTTGCTATCCACCCTGTCTATACCTCTCAAGATTTTGCAGACCTCAATCAGGTCCCCCCTCAACCTCCGTCTTTCTAATGTAAATAATGCTAATCTACTCAACCTCTCTTCATAGCTAGTGCCCTCCATACCAGGCAACATCCTGGTGAACCTCCTCTGCACCCTCTCCAAAGCATCCACACCCTTTTGGTAATGTGGCAACCAGAACTGTACGCAGTATTCTAAATGTGGTCGAACCAAAGTCCTATACAACTGTAACATGACCTGCCAACTCTTGTACTCAATATCCCGTCCGATGAATGAAAGCATGCCGTATGCCGCCTTGACCACTCTATCGACCTGCGTAGCGACCTTCAGGGTACAATGGACCTGGACACCCAGATCTCTCTGTGCATCAATTTTCCCCAGGGCTTTTCCATTTACCATATAGTTCGCTCTTGAATTGGATCTTCCAAAATGCTTTCTTTTCTTTACTCTTTTATAGTCATAGAGTCACACAGCACAGAAACAGACCCTTCGATCCAACCAGTCCTTGCCAAACGTAATCCCAAACTAAACTAGTTCCACCTGCCTGTTCCTGGCCCAGATCCCTCCAGATCTTTCCTATTCATGTATCTATCCATATGTCTTTTAAACACTGTAATTGTCCCCGCATCCACCACTTCCTCGGGAAGCTCATTCCACACGCGAATGATCCTCTGTGTAAAAGATTTGCATCTCATGTTTATTTAAAATCTCTCTCCTCTCACCTTTTATAATGTGCCAGCTAGCCTTGAAATCCCCCATCCTAGGGAAAAGACAACTACCATTAACCCAATCTATACCTCTCGTTATTTTATACATTTTTATCAGGTTGCCTCTTAACCTCCTATGCTCCAGTGGAAAAAAAAAAGTCAGTCCATCCCGCCTTTCTTTATAACTCAAACCTTCCAGACCTGACAATATCCTGGTAAATCTCTTCTGAATCTCTTCAGCTTAATAATATCCTTCCTGTAACTGGACGACCAGAATTGGACAGTGTTTCAAAGGAGGCCTCACCAATTTCCTATACAACCTCAAATGACTTCCCAACTCCTATATTCAAAGGACTGAGCAATGAAGGCAAGCATGCTAAACGTCTTTTTAACCACTGTTTACTTGTGACGCTAATTTCAAAGAATTATGTACCTGCACCTCTAGCTCCCACTGTTTACAGCACTACTCAAGGCCCTACCATTAATTGTATAAGCCCTATCCTTTTTTTTTGTTGTACCAAAAAGCAATGCCTCTCATTTATCCAGATTGAACTCCATCTGCTATTTTTTAGTCCATTGACCCATTTGATCAAGATCCCTTTGTAATCTTAGAAAACCTTCTGCACTGTCTGCAATGCCACCCAAATTTGGTGTCATCCACAAACTTACTAACCACGCCTTCTGTATTCTCATTAAAATCATTTGTATAAATGTCAAACAAAGGAGCACCCAGAACTGATCCCTGTGGGATATAGTGGAACACTGCTGGTCACAGGCCCCCAGTTCAAAAAGCAACCTCCCACCATTAGTCTCTGTCTCCTGCTGTTAAGCCAGTTATGTATCCAATTGGCAAGCTCACCCTGAATCTCATATGATCTAACTTTACTAATTAGTCTATCATATGGAACCTTATCAAAGGCTTCACTAAAATACAAATAAACAACATCTGTTGCTTTGCCATCATCAATCTTTTTGGTAACTTACTCAAAAAAAACTCAATCAAGTTTGTGAGACACTATTTTCCTCGCACAAAACCATACTGACTATCTCCAATCAATTTTTGCCTCTCTAATTGTCTGTAAATCCTATCTTTTATAATCACCTCCAACAATTTACCCACCACCAAAGTCTGACTTATAGGCCTATAGCTCACTTTTCCTAAACAAAGGTACAACATTGGTGACCCTCTTGTTGAAGTGTGTTATAGTAAAGTTATCTGGTGGTCTCATTGTGATTTGATATGTTTAGTGATGGCTTGTGGAACAGTGGGGTATGACGATTGATGCACTCTTCCTAGTTAAGGATACAGAACAGGATCGAAGGTAAAAGACAGAGGGTGGCGGTAGAGGGTTGCTTTTCAGACTGGAAGCCTGTGACCGGTGGTGTGCCACAAGGATCAGTGCTGGGTCCACTGCTTTTTGTCATTTATATAAATGACTTGGATGTGAACATAGGAGGAATGGTTAGTAAGTTTACAGACAACACCAAAATTGGAGCTGTAGTGGACAGCAAAGAAGGTTACCTCAAAGTACAACAGGATCTTAATCAGATGGGCCAATGGGCTGAGTAGTGACAAATGGAGTTTAATTTAGATAAATGTGAGGTGCTGCATTTTTGAAAGGCAAATCAGGGCAGGACTTGTGCAATTAATGATAAGGTCCTAGGGAGTGTTGCTGAACAAAGACCTTGGAGTGCAGGTTCATATTGCTTGCAAGTGGAGTCACAGGTAGACAGGATAGTGAAGATGGCATTTGGTATGCTTGCGTTTATTGGTCAGTGCATTGACTATAGGAGTTGGGAGATCATGTTGCGGCTGTACAGGATGTTAGTTAGACCACTTTTGGAATACTGCATGCAATTCTGGTCTCCCTAAAGGATGTTGTGAAACTTGAAAGGGTTCAGCAAAGATTTATAAGGGTGTTGTCAGGATTGGAGGGTTTGTGATATGGAGAGAGGTTGCATAGGCTGGGGCTATTTTCCCTGGAATTCTGGAGGCTGAGGGGTGACCTTTATAGAAGTTTATAAAATCATGAGGGGCATGGATAGAGTGAATAGCCAAGGTTTTTGTGCTATACATCTCTGACTCTATGTTGTGACATCAAGCACATACAGCTGCTGACTGAGTATTTTTAAGGCAATAATTTTAAAGTGGCAAATCCACTTGTCTTCTGAACATTTCAACCCCCCATCAGATTTTTTCACTACCTTGAAGTATTTAAGCAATAATGCTCCATTGATCACCATGTTGTATGTAATACAGATCCAACCACCACCAGCTAATGAATGGAATTGCATCCTGCTATCAATCCTTAATTCTATACTGAGTTCAAGGCACTGTTTGTTAACAGTGGTAGTGGAGTAATGACTGGAGTATTAAGAACAGGAAGTTGCCTTGATGTGGTTTATTACGCAATAGTAATAGGTACAAGTCTCATTGCTAGTTAGACACAATTATTGAGGCTATCGGAAATCAGGTGTGACATCTCTCACCTCATTGAGATCTCAAGTTAACCTCCTCCACTTGTAACTCAAAATTATATGATATCATCAGAGACAAAACTAGTTTGGATTGTGAGGAAGTTGAAAAGAGGTTTTCAGGAGATTTGGACATACTGAGTAAATGTGCAAGAACATGGCAAGTGGAATACGATGTAGGTAGGTATGAGGTTATCCACTTTGGTAGGAGGACAGGTTTCTTAAATCGGAATCATACAGTGCGGAAAGAGGCCATTTGGCCCATTGAGTCTGCACTGACCCTCTGAAGAGCATTCCACCCAAACCCAGCCCCCTCACTCTATCCCTGTAACTCTGCAATTCCCATGGCTAACCCACCTAGCCT